AGCCCTACTTGAATTCCTGACCCACAGAATCATGAACAATAAATGGAAGGGCAAGGCAGGTGGGATTTCCTGCTTCCCTTCCACTGGAGAGTCCCCTACCCTTTCTGTGTGCAGGGGTGTCCCTGGGCTTTGAGTGGTTTGCTCTGCTGCAAGCGATAACGGAGACCGTATGTGTGTGTGTGTGTTTCAGCTCTGGAGTGACAGCCACGGTTTTAAAAATATTTATTTTATAAGAATACTTTTTCCTTTTTTTTATAAAGGATCTTAAACAGCTGGGAGGAAGCCCCAAAGTGGACTAGAAAAATCAATCAAGTAGAGGAGGAAGAAAAATTGGAGTAAGAAATAATGTTTTATTTTAACTTGGAAAAGTAGGAAGTACTAAAGCTGGAAGACCGACCCCCACCCCCCCCCCCGCCACACAATATCACACACACACACACACACACACACACACACACACACACACACACACACCCATCCTCCCACCCCTGCCCCAGGAGCTCTCTGCTGAGTGCTCCGACAGGGAAATACATGTGCAACCGGAAGGAAGGGAGTTCACCGATCCAGGTCTGCTTTGTACCAGGGTGGCCTGGCTCACTGAGGCTATGGAGGACCTAACTTGACCCTCTATAGAAAGGGCATGGCATATTGCAGCACTTTACCTTAGGATTTTTTTTTTAATTAATTTTTTCCACTCTCCATTCTGCCCATTTTTTATCTCCCCAAGAGGGGAAGTAGTTTAGTGATTCAGTGGCTCTGCAAGCTTCCAACTGGCAGTAAAACACAGTTATTTAATATTTTGATTCTTACAAAGTGAAAATAGCCTTATTGCCTTTTTTTAAAAAAACAAAAGAAATACATGCTGGTTATAAACAATAAAAAATACAAAGAATTCAAAAATTAAAATCTACAATCACACGACCCAGAATTAACCATTAGTAACATTTTGATATATATTTTTTCAGACTCTTTTTCTCTGCCCTTCTTTCTCACCTCCCCCTCTCTCTATATATAATAGAATATGCTATTTTATAACCTGCATTAAAAAATTAATCTACCATGGACATCTCTCTGTACATCAATAATTATAAAGGTAGAGCTTACTTAAAAGTATGAGTTTTGTCCAGCCAGTGTGGCTCAGTGATTGAGCGTCGACCTATGAACCTGGAGGTCATGGTTCAATTCCCTGTCAGGGTACATGCCCGCGTTGCAGGCTCAATCCCCATTGAGAGGTGTGTAGGAGGCGGCCCATCAACGATTCTCTCTCATCATTGATGTTTCTATCTCTTTCTTCCTCTCTGAAATCAATTAAAAAATATTTTTTTTTAAAGGAGAGAATCATTTTGAAATTTGTTTTCTCGCCACTGCCCTTCTAGGCCAGGGTCCAAAGCTCATTTTTATACACCCAGCTAAGTGCAATGAAAAGACCATCGCACACTCAGGGGTTGGTCCAGGGCCTGGCTTCATGCTCCTGTCACCACAGTAGCCGATCGTTTTCAGCTCCAAGAGTCATTCGCTGTCAGCTAGGACTGGGATGGTTAGCTCCTGCTGCCTGCGGCTCCAGGAGAGAATCTGAAACCCCAGCATATGGAGAATATTTCAACTTAAATTGGGGAATATGGCTGCTGCTAGAGTGTTGCTATTGGTTCCCTGGTAGATTCGGCTGTGAAATCGACCATCTGCCCAGTGTGAGAGGCTGCTGGGTGGACTAGGGTCCCGCAGCTCTGGTTTCCAAGGCCTTTCTCATCGCCCTCACCCCGTCCCTAGCCCTGCCTCCCCCCTCCACCCACTGGCTGCCGCCTGAGCTCCACCTTTTCTGGCCTTGGGCTTTACAAATTGTTGGATGGATATGGCAACAGTAGAGAAGGAATAGGATTCACTGGGAGGGGAAAACTGGAAGGATAGGAAGAAGGACTGTCGTGGGAAATGATATCGGTCCTTTTGCCAGAGCAAAAAGTAGGAAAGATCATGGATCTCAACTTTGGCTGCCTGTTAGACTCACCTGGGGAGCTCGTACTAGTAAAAATCCCCAGTTCAGCTACACCCAAGACCACCTGAAGTCAACATCTCTGGAGGTGGCACCCAGACATCAGAAGTTTTTTGTTGTTGTTAATCCTCACCCGAGGATATTTTTCCATTTATTTTAAAAACAGAGTGGAAGGAATGGGGAGATGGAGAAACATCGATGTGAAGGAGACATAGCTTTTGGTTGCCAGAGATCGAGCCTGCAACCGAGGTATGTGCCCTTGGGCAGAATTGAACCTGGGACCCTTCAGTCCGCGGGCTGACGCTCTATCCGCTGAGCCCAACTGGCTGGGGCCATCAGAAATGTTTGAAGCTCCTCAGGTGATTCCACTGTGCAGCCAAGGTTGAGACCACAGCTCTCCATTGGTCGGCAAACTCAGTAGTCAACAGAGCCAAATATCAACAGTACAACGATTGAAATTTCTTTTGAGAGCCAAATTTTTTTAAAAATATATTTTATTAATTTTTTACAGAGAGAAAGGGAGAGGGATAGAGAGTTAGAAACATTGATGAGAGAGAAACATCAATTCAGCTGCCTCCTGCACACCCCCTACTGGGGATGTGCCCGCAACCAAGGTATATGCCCTTGACCAGAATCGAACCTGGGACCCTTCAGTCCGCAGGCCGACGCTCTATCCAGTGAGCCAAACCAGTTAGGGCAGAGAGCCAAATTTTTTAAACTTAAACTCTATAGGTAGGTACATTGTTATTAACATAATTAGGGTACTCCTAAGGCTTAGGAAGAGCCACACTCAAGGGGCCAAAGAGCTGCATGTGGCTCGAGAGCCGCAGTTTGCCAACCACGGCTCTAGACTAAGGAGCCGTGGGTCTTGGATCCGTCAAGCCATTGTAGGCAGTGTGATCTCGGGAAAGCCACGTACCCACTTTCTCTTAGTTTTCTTACGTATGAACGTGGTTGCCTCCAAATACTAGTGTAATGCATTTGACCAGGACCAATTTTTAAAAAATGTTTTCTAGCTCTGAAGTTCTAAGAATTTATTCAAATGGTAATTGAAAGTCAAGTGGAGGTGTGAACTTTGAAGCGTCTTTGAAGTATCTGATTTGAATGTTGCTCTCTACTTCAAACTCACCCACAAACTCTGCCAACCAAAGTCTGACAAGAGAACTCCGGTAACCCTAGGGCCTTCTCTGCTAAGAGAAAATGTCCACCTCCTTCCATTTCACAAGACTGAAAAGAGGACAGTGGGTATGCTTGTCTTGATTGCTACCTAGCTCATTAGGCAACTGTCGAGAAAGGTTGCGGGCACTTGCTCACACTCCCTCTTTCTCTTCCCACATCTGAGGATAATTGCTACCAGGCAAGGGCATTTTATATGAATACACCTAAAAGGAGAAGAATAGTTTTGTAATCAGTGGGGGGAAAGTTTGATGGGAACTTCATATTGGAAAATAAAACTAAATGATATTAAAATATGTTTTGTTAGATTTAGCAAACCTCGGTTATAATAGCAAATATGCACTCATTCTCAAAGAATAAATTGTGTTACTTTTCTCTGCATATATATTTTCTGACAAAATTATATATCATTTATGTATTTATTCATATGTACTATATATTCATATATTACATATCATTTCGCTTTACTTGGACTTTAATTTTAAAGCTTTATCATGAGGCAGGGGTAGTAGTATTAGCTGAAAAAAGTGTTTTAGTAGGGGCCAATTTTATAAGTAATTGGTTTATTAGAGAATATTTTCACTATTCAACTTCCTAACTTCAAGGAATTGGATAATGAACACTTGAGTAATTATAAATATATATTTATTCCATATGTCTCCATATAGGCACAAAAATAGGTAAATTGTATACTGTAAAGTATATGCTAGTTAACACAAGTTACTGTACCCTGTACTTGAATATGGCATTACAGACAATGTTACTATTTCCTGTACTTGGGGGAAGTTGTCACCTTAACCAAGTTTTATTTTCTAAACTCAAAAACCTCCCTCCCTTTACTCTGCCATGGGCAGTTTTCATAGATTCCTAGTCATTTTTGTAACTGTCTCATGTCCTCACAAAGCAATTTACCAGCTAGATTTTGTGCGTCATAATACCAATAATAATCTCTCATACTCACTGAGCCAAGGCTGTATTCCAAGCACATTCTTATATTGTCTTGTTTAATATTTATAGCAGCCCTGTGACCGACATGGATAATACCATCTCTGCTTTGCAAATAAGTTTACATGCATGCTCTATTTTGCTGACCACCTGTTGAAATAATTGCAAGTGTTCTGTAACAGGTCCTTAATTTGGGAAATCCTTTCTCCTCCGTGCAGTCTGAAAAGCATTTCACTGGACAGAAGATAACTCTTTAAAAATAGCTTTCTAGCCCAGCCGGTGTGGCTCAGTGGTTCAGCATTGACCTATATGAACCTGGAGGTCACTGTTTGATTCCTGGTCAGGGCAGGTGCCCGGGTTGCAGGCTCGGTCGCCAGTGTGGGGAGTACAGGAGGCAGCTGATCAATGATTCTCTGTTATCATTGATGTTTCTCTCTCTCTTTCTTCATCTCTGAAATCAATCTATATAATAGAAGTCTAAGCGATCATTACAGCAGAACGTCAGACGGACATCCCCCGAGGGGTCCTGGGCTTCGAGAGGGTACAGGCTGGGCTGAGGGAACACCCCCCCCCACCTCCAGTGCACGAATTTTGTGCACTAGGCCTCTAGTAAATATATAAAAATTTAAAAAATAAAAGACCCTAGAGAGCTCCCTTGCCCCTCCCACCAGGCACGGACACAGCAGAAACAGCCCTCTATGAACCAGGAAGGGGTGCATCTGGCTTTTGGAACTCGCAGCCTCCAGATTTCTGAGAAATGAATGTCTATTGTTTAAGCCACTCAGCCTATGATATTTTTGTTACAGCAGCCTGAACGGGCTGAGACAGTGAGGTACCGAGAGCAGTCAATATTGTAGAGACAGAAAGTAGACAGCTGTTGCCAGGGGCTGAGGGCAGGGGGCCTGCTGGCACAGCCTGGTATGTGTGTGAGGACCGTGGCCACTCCTGGAGCCTGGGCCCAGTGCTCTCGAAAAGCTGGCGTCTTTCCTTCTGAATCGAGCAGTGGTTCCCGGGCCTGGGTGTTCATGAGCTGCACCAAGGGATTCAAACACAGATCCCAGAGTCCTGACTCTAAAAATACAGACTTGGTAGTCCCACCAGGATGGGGCCTGGGAGTCAGTATTTTCCAAACCCTCCTCAGGTGGTTTTGCTCATCAACCAAGTGTGGGAACCACTGGGCTGGGTCGTCGGTGGGCCTTTGGTATGAACGTCACTTAATCCTGGGCTCCTGCTTCCGGGACTTGCGCTCCATTATAAAGCTGCACAACACACTGAGCGTCTCTTCGACACTTTGAGGCCGGCGCTTGCCATTCAGTCCCGTGGCAAATGTATATCGCGTGCCCGCCACATGCCTGTGCTGCGCCAGGCCCAGGGATGTGTGGGAAGAGGCAGGGTCTCTGCTCCCTTGAGCATGTCCTGGAGCAGAGACATCGCTGACCCCCTCCCTCCTGCCCCCAGCACTTCCCTTTCCACCGGCCTTCGCTCCCTTGCCTTTTTCATTTCCCGGACTGCTGACCTTACGAGATCCTAAACGTCTTTCAGAGCCAGATCTGTGTCCAATTCATGTCTAGGCTGTGGTTTTCTTCTGGGCCCACCCCCACGCCCAATTGCCCACAACTAGTGTAATGGTTTGCATTCAGTAAAGGTCTGGTAAATAGATCCATTCATTCACCCAGCAAATATTTACAGAGGCCTACCGTGCACCAGGCATGGCTGTAGGTGCCAGAGCTAGAAGGAGGACGAGGTGAGCGAGGCACCAGGGCACCAGGGCCCAACATGTAAGCAGGCGCTCCCTCTCGGGTCAGGCCAGTGCAGGGCCGGCCCCTGAGAATGAGCCTCCCCTTCAAGGTTGTGCTCTGCGGGCCTCAGTCGCCTCGCTCTAGTCCAAGCTCTGCTAGGAGCTGGGAGTCGGCCATCAGTGGAACAGAGACAAATGGACACAGGGAAACGCTCCCTTCTCCCGGGGTCTTGGTGGGACGATGCATGCTGCCCATCCGTAAGTCCATTCCCCGACCTGTGTGCCACCTGCCTGCCCAACCAGCCTATGGAGTCCTACTCTGGTCCTCCCCCTCCTCCTCTTCCCACCCCACCTCCACAAGCGTTCTGCCTGGGACACTGTTTCCAGAGGCTGGTCCTTGACCTGGATCCCTGGGGGCACCTGTTGAGAATGCAGCTTCCCAGTCTCACCTATGGAGTCAGGCTCTTCGAGGGTGGACCTGCTTCCTGACCAGCTCCAAGGGTGGTCAAGGCACGTTCATGTGCCAGGAACCCTGCCCACCAATTTGTTCAGGCAGCACCACTAAGACTGGCCTCCGTGTGAGAAGACAGGGAAAGGGATTTTAATGTGACCTAGTTCCTTCATGGTTCTGTTTGCAAAGGCGGAAGAGGCAGGTGTGGGAAGGGTGCAGACTGGCCTTGACTCTCACCTGTGGAGCTCTGCAGGAACGTCTTCCCTCAGCTCGGCCTTGCACCTTCGCCAGGCCACGCCAGGTCCTGCCCCATGATCCTCTGCTTGCCTGCCTGGCCTCCCCAAGGAGCTAGAGTTTGGCACTGCCAGTAGCTTCGGTGACTGGGTCAAAAGTTTCCATGGTGCTGGGTAGGAGGCGGGATGAGTCGGCCGGTGGCCAGGGTAGGGTCTGAGAGCCCCAGAGCAAACAAGCAACGTGGGATGACCTGTGAATGTGGTCATCCTGACGTCTAAGGCGGGTACCTATCAGAGTCACTTGCTTCACGTGTGCCCTGCCTGGACGCCCACGCCCTTTGGGGCGTCAGATGCATACTATTAAAGGGTGATCATCTGAATGACATATCAATTGTGTGGGTTACCAGTAAACCCAGTTTGCAGGGTGGAGCGTATCTCTGACTTTCCCAATCCATTAGCTCCTTGGCAGCATCAGCGTGAGATTCCTCTCGCTCTCAGGCCACACCCAGCTCCCGCAGGGAAGAGGTGGGGAGTGGATCGCCAATCTGCTTTTGAAAGGGTTCGGGGTAGGGAGATGGAGGGCCCATCAAAGTCCAACTCAGGAGGGAATTTGGGGTAACGTTGGCAACTGGGGCACCATCCCAGTGCCCCCAAATGGCAGGTTTTTGATTGAGGGCTGTCAACAGCAGGCCATTGGAGCTGGACGAATAACTTATTTGCTCCCAAGGTTGAGGACAGTGGTGTTCAAGCGTTCATGCGCATCACTGTCACCTACGGGCCTTGTTAAAACAGGTGCCCAGACCCCACCTTGGAATCTTGGGAGACGAGGCTCAGGAATTTGCCTTTCCAACAGCTCCCACCAGCAGTTCTGCCACACACAGCAGTCTCAGCACCTCTAGTGCTCTGAAGTAGGGAACCTTTGCAGTGCTTGTTTCTCATTAACGCCAGGGTATCTGCCCCCACTCGCCGCCCTTTCTTCAAGCATGGAGGTTTGTACGCTGACAGTTGGGCTAAAATGGAACTGTATTTCCAGATCCCCTTCCCTGTGGCCTGAGGTAGAGTGGGGTTGAGATGTGGGAGATCTGATATGCACCCACGTGGCTGGGAGCAAGGCTGCCCGGCTGGGGACTATGTCCCTGCAGAGACCATCCCCTATCCGAATGGGAAGGGGCAGTCATTACTCTCTCGAGGTGGTCAGCGTCAGATGCGTGGTAGGCAGGCGCAGGGGTGCCAGGTTCCAGCTTGTCCTCCCTCTCCCCTTCACATCCAGCTCCCCCCTGGAACCCAGGCAGCCCCAGGCCCTGCCTCAGGTGCTTAGTGGCAGATCCCGGGGGAGGGACCCGCAGGGCGTAGTGCCCCAAGGCCTCCCCCAGGCTTCTCTTTGCAGCCCCTCTCATTGACTGCTTGCTAGTACCTGATCCACACGCTGAGGCAGGCCAGGCACCGGGCACCATGGGCCTTGCCAATCTGGGGCTCACATTGGTGCTTGGTCCATCTTGGCCGATGACCGGCCACATGGGTGTTGATAAATCTGTGACAACCAGAGGCATCAGCGTTTTTGTTTACTGGTAGATCTTTACCAAAGAATACCAACAAGGGAAGCAGAGATCGGGTTGAAAATAAATGTCTCCAAGTTTTCCAGTTTAAGTAACCAATAAATCAACC